TTTTCACAACGCAACACTATAAGAAACGCGATCATTATTTTATCGCAACACTAATTCAACCCGCTATTAATTAATCGCAACACTAATGAAAAATCGCGATGCCCATGATGACTGAATCCGGTGGGCCAGCATGCAATCGGCCAGACAACACAACAACAAATACTACGTATTACTAAAACGAGCATAGTGACAAAATAGTAACAATGACTTCCCATTCTTTGGACCCAAAGAAAATCCAAAAAATGAGAAACCATTCGGTGCAGCCCCTCTTCGTGACAGTTTGTCGAGGCCTCTTCGGTCTTCCTCCTTCGGGCGCAATGCCCCCTGAAACTTAAATCTAGGCTCGAGATTCGCTAATCGCGAACAAAAAAAGAAATAAAGAAAAAAGACTAAATCGCGGAAACTAGCACATGGACGACTAATGATCGTATCATTGGTCATACACGTGCAGGATCTCGCGCGCAACGTTCGTTTCGAAAGCAAATCGCGACCGCGACCACGAAACTCGAAAAATCGACAAGAAAAGCCAGAGACGAGTAGCATTCTCGAGTACCATTCGTCTCAGCTTTGCCTTCGATTTCTCAAATTTTATTCCCTGAAACAGATTGTCACGCGAAAACGCGCCTACCCGATCAGAGACTGTGACAATCTGCCCGGCCCTTCCCACTTATACTTATAATTCGTACCAGAAGTATACTACCACTCCTACCACGACCTATATTTAAAAAATGGCAAAACAGGCATACCAACACATTCATTCCACGATTCTCACGCATAATACTCGGGCGCAAAAGCCTACACTAGGGAAAATGTCCCGGGACATCTCCGACACCCGAGCTTGGCATACTACTTCCACACTCTAAGTTTACGTACCATTTTCCTGAAATCGACTGACGATGGCTAGTGACCATTGCGTAAAAAATAATAAAATTATATATTTCAATTTTAATTATGAATATTCATATTAAACATAATTCGTATTAAAATATATGCTATCTTAAAGATTGAATATTATTAGAATAATATTCTAATGAAATAAACNTAATAAATTTAATTTACAAATTTAATCAATTCTTATTAATTTTAGAAAGCAAAAATGTAAAAAAATAAACAATAAATAAGAAATTTATTTTGAGAATTAATAATATATAATTGACTCTGAATGAAAATTTATTCATATTATTATTATATTTATAATATATTAATAAAAATAACCTCAGGCGATTTCGTTATCAAAGCACATTTTCAAAAATATATAAAAGAAATATTCACAACTTGTAGCTTTGATTTCAAAATCTGCCTGTCGCGAAGTGTCTTCTTGCATATAATATTTAATGTATTTTTAAACAAGAGAAATAAACCTATTATCTTTAATATTTATTTAATTTATATATATATATTTAAATATTTGACGTTTGTAAATATGCTTTAATAGATTACAATAATTTATTTTTAGATAATGAATTAATATCATTAAAAATTATTAATATTTAAAAGCATCATATACAAGAAGGCCTATCCTGATCTAATAAATAAAATACAAGAAAAAAATGTTACTATTCACAGGTATAATAAATACCCGCGGTCACTGTGCTCGTGCAAAAATCTACGTATACAACCAATTACTCGTGTCGATTCTGATCTTTCATCCTACGACATGATTGAGTAATCAGAAGAACATAAATGCATGCGACTCACCAATGATGCGAAGAATCTGCATTCATTGCCGAATAATCAGGAAATGGAAACTGTAACAAAACATAAAATATTATAATTAAAACATAATTCTATTTGAAGAAATTGAAGGAAGGAATAAAAATAATTACCTCTTCGCGTGATGGATGATCGCCTTATTCTCTTGAAAAACACTGACTCTATTTTATAAAAGCACTGACTTTATCTCGAATATTAAAAAAATAATAATAAAAATAAAAGACTATCAATTACATTCATAATTTATAATCGATGAACAAACACTGACATATATCTTTCTTTAAAAATTAAAAACTTACTTCTCTTGTAAAACTTGTTCTTGATATTCATATTGAAAATTCTTTTTCTCATCTAAAATAATTTCAGCTATTTATCTGAAACAAAAAAGATAAATATATAAAATATATAAGATTAAATTAATTGTATGAAAATGAAGCAAAAACTTAATATAAATCTTATTTTAAAAGTTTGAATTAATGGTTAACTTTAATAATAACTCTAATAATCAAATAAACGAATAAAAAAAGAAGATTAAATTATTTTTTGAAGAATTATTAATTCTAATAATATTCAATAAATAATTGAACAAATGCATATTAATGAAATAATAATACAAAAAGTAAAAGAATAACTATTCAAATATATTAGGAAATATATATTATGCATTTGAAGCAAAACTAATCACAAGCTTTGGCAATAGAAATCCTTTGTGTAACAAT